AGTTCTTTTGCAGAATCACTTCACGCCGAGCCAGAAATCGTTCAAAGCTGAAGCGGTGGCTCTGCCGAGTGGTTTTCGTGTTCCAAGCGTACATATGTTGCACAGAGCATCTAATTATTCTTAGGGACAATTACTGTCAGGTTCCAAAATGTGCTCAATGAGCAGCAATTGGTGTTTATTCAGCTTTTAAAAGACTGTGCAAGGGAACAGTAGGTTATATTGTCTGCCTGAAGAAGCATTTTGCCATCCGGAAACATCTGCTTTCTATTTAAAGCCATGGAGAAGGAATGGGGGTGTATTTCGGATACACTCCCTGAGCTCTGAACACCAAAGAAAGGGGCATTGAACCTGAAGGTGGTTTCTGGTCTCTGAGCCGCACGGGTCTGTCGGTCCCTGCTGCGAGGGACCTGTGGCCCCGTCTGCTGGGAAGTTCTGATTCCGTTGACTCTCCTTATTCTGATTTGTACACACATAGGACCTGACAGCAATGTCCTAGATACAGCACCTGTCCTTTCTCAGGTGAGGCTAAATTAGCTTTCAGAGTCGGGGTCTGTTACTCTGAATTGAAAGAACCCCAGCTGTGCTCTTTCTGTTGCTAGGCATCCCCTTGTGACCCTGAGCTCTCTGTGTGGATGGCATTGTCCACTCACAGCTGTTAGGAGGGCCAAATGAGCATATTGCCATCCGTTTGGTGTGGTAAACTTTCTGTGAGGGACAATGTCTTAGCCATCTATCTCACTGTAATAAGCTACACATTCGGCAGCTTAAACAAACCATGTTTCTGTAGGGTAGGAGTCCGAGTGTCCTTAGCTGTGAGCAGTCCGGTGTCCAGTACCGTGATCAGGTATAGGCTGAAGTCTCATGTGAAGGCTTGATTGCAGAAAGATCTGGTTTGGAACTCACATGGTTGTTGGTAGAATTCAGCCCTGTGGGGATGTTGGGCCAAGGGCCCCAGTTCTTCTCTGGAGTCTTCTCAGTGCCTTGCAACGTGGGACTCCTGATATTCCTGAGAGCCAGCAAGGGCGAGTTAGAGGAAAACAAGTTGCAATCCGGTGTGACTTAATCACACAACTGACAGCCTGTCACCTTTGCTATGTTCTGATCGGACTAAAGTGTAAACCTGTAATCCCAGTGCAGGGGGCTGAGGTAAGAGGACCACAAATTGGAGGACCCTGGAGACTAACAGAGACCCTACCTAAAAAATTCCCAGGTCCCAAACATACAGAAAAAGGCCAAAACAAACCTCTAACTTGCATGCAAGGGGAGGGGATTACGTTGGCACCCATACCATAAGCGGTGCACCGCCCACAGCTACTGTTTTAACTGTTCTTCCAGGACATGGATAAGAGGGAGTTAAAGTTTCCTAAGATGCGGTTTACTGTGTAACCCAGGCAGGCCTTTTGGCCATTCTGATCCTGTCTCCTCCACCTGTACAGCACTTTCCCCGTGGGATTATTGTGATCCTAAATGAGAAATCCCATATGCAGAATGCTGAGCAGTTGGTAAATGTCAGCGCCTGGCTGTTCTTTTCATCCTGGCCCTTTTTTTTTCTCCTCTCTTGAAATAACATTAGACTTTTTGAATATCAGAAGAAAACTTGAAACTCCCCAGTACTCAGATTGGGTTATTCATGTGGAAATCCCAGTCCTGCAGGTGGCTTTCTGGATACAGAGCTTCAGTATGTGAAGGTCCAGGTTCTATCTGTTCCCATCCTCCCTACACATACCCCCACCTGTATTTGCTGGGACCTCAGGACCAAGGAACGTAGTTCTGTGGCCTCAGTAGAGTCACAGTATTTTGGTACAATGAACACTCTCAGAAAATGGGTCTGATGGGAGTTCCAACAGTGTCTCTCCTAGGCCTCTTTCTATAGAAGGCCTGGCTATGGTGACCAAGGGTGTGTCCAGACAAGCCCACTGTGCTTCCCCACCTTGGTGTATCTCTTTCCAGCTAAGGTTCTGGGGACAACTCAGGCCTTTCTGATTCCAGGTCTGAGAAGGCAAATTTGGTGACGGGGGCCGTTGGTCTGAGTGCCAAGTCATGCCAGGCAGACAGCAGGCTGCTTTGACTGTATCAAGCCACAAGCTCCGCCATCTTGCCTTGCCTTGTAGTCTTTCTCCCGGCATCTCTCTCCACTTTGATTGACTGCCTCACTTCCTCACTGCTGCTGGCTTCAAGGGCATAGAGGACACATAGAAAGTCATTGCTGGAACACAGTAGGCCGCCTACCTTCTCCCCCTTCCTCCCCGATGACAACCTCCTCCTGACCATAGCACCTCTGCCTCCCTTCAGCCCCCTCTCCCAATCCCTTGCATCCAAGCAATAGGTTCTTGGTCCCCCTGTTGGCCCCCAGAGCTGTAGGACACCTTTAAGGAGTAGACAAACCACTAACAGTCAACCATGTCACGCTAGATGAGAGATGCTGCCTGTGGGGATGTGTCCTTTATTGTTTTCCAAATCCTCGGGTGGTGCCTAAGGAAAGCGCTTCCTCACATTTTTAGAAGATAAGAGTTACCTAGAACTCTTGTTATAGGAGAGGCCGCAGGCCCTTTTACTAGAGAGTCAGGTGCCAGGAGCTAGGGCAGGCTTGGGAGCTAGAGGTTTTAGTAATCATGGCTAATTGCTATCATGAAGGTTTGGCAAACTAGTGTCCACATGCTGCATGCTTGCACCCAGCTTTAGCCTGGCTTCCTCAGGGAGGGAGCAGGGACACAGACCTGAAAGTCGGGGCTCTGTCCCTGAAAAGACTCCTCTGACCTGTGGCCTACCGTTTAGGCCGTAAGAGTGTGGGAGAGAATCAGTGTAGTCTAATCTGCCAAATGCTCTGTAGCGACAGCTGTTCATCCCTCCTTCCTCTCACATACGCATGAGAACGCGGTTTTCTTTATAGTGTTGTATTCCGATGCTTAGGAAACTACAGGGCTGGGTGACACAGCTGGGACATCCAGACGGCAGACTTCCCCGCATCGTATTCACGAGTATGTGCTCCACACAGCTTGGCTTCTTGACGACAGATGTGAAACATTTACAGCTAGGATCTTCCTTTTGTTTCTACAGCTGTCACTCTGGAAGGCGATGGGTTTGGGATGAAGCCAGTGAGTGAACTTGGGGATTATTACAGGAAATGCCCGAGTAACTCACATTCCTGCTCTTACTTTTTCCTGCTCCTGGGCCTGGAGAGGAGCAGGAATGACAGCCTCTGCTGCTCTTCTGGAACACTAGCTTTAGAAGCAGCTATGCTGGCATTTATGTTCATTCCAGACTCTTCCAGAAGTTTCTGTGTTCCTCTAACACTGTCGATATCCATGATATTACCTGACATCCCGTGTATGAGGCTCAAAGAGTAAATTGCTTTCCTCGAGTAAAGTTTCCCTTGAGAGCTGTGTGGAGCTGTGTGGAGTTGTGTTTCTAGTAATGAGTCTTCTGCAGGTGCTGGTGGGGGAGCAGGAGAGCAGCCGGGAAGGCAAGGGTGGGGCCAGAGCTCAGAGACCCCTGCCCAGCGCCTCCCCACTGCAAGCGTAGCATTGAGACTTCCTTGCCCTCTGAACTTCTGTGTTCACTTGGGTGTCCTTTTCTTTATCATCTCTTTGACATTGCTGGGATTTTAAAAATTAATTTCACTAAACCAAAATCAGACCTTCAGATTTGAGTTTGGTTTTTTTGTTTTTTGTTTTTGTTTTTTTTTTTTTTTGGTTTTTACGAGACAGGGTTTCTCTGTATTGTTTTGGAGGCTATCGGTCCAGCCCGGCCTCGAGCTCACAGAGATCCACCTGCCTCTGCCTCCCGAGTGCTGGGATTAAAGGCGTGCGCCACCACCGCCCGGCCGATTTTGTATTTTTAACCCATGCTTACTACAGTTTTTAAATTTATTTTTGCACGCTGGCACACACACCCCCTATTTTTGTCTTATTTTGAATATTAAAAGAATTTTTGAGGTAGTTTACCTGCAAAGCTTTTTTCCAGAAAGCAGGCCTTGTGATGAGTCTGGTTTGTGTGTGTGTGTGTGTGTGTGTATGTGTGTGTGTGGTGTGTGTGTGTGTGTGTGTGTGTGTGTGCGTGCGTGCGTGTGTGCGTGTGTGTGTGTGTGTGTGTGTGTGTGTGTGTGTGTGTGTGTGTGTGCGTGCGTGCGTGCGTGTGTGTGTGTGTGTGTGTGTGTGTGTGTGTGTGTGTGTGTGTGTGTGGCTTTGTTAAGCAGGTACTTCAAAGTATGACTGTGTAGTGAATTCTGTTACAGTTTTAATTAGTTTTAATTGTCTTTGTTACTAATGCCTTTGTTAGGACCTAATTAATTCTTTACTAAGCAGAAAGAAACGCAGAGACTGTGTTAACTTGGTTAATCCTTTTTTAGCAGCCATGGAAACGACCACAGGTTTGTGGGATGAAAAAGACGGCAGTTCAGAGTTCAGGCCAGAGAAGAGGGGGGGGGCTCTATGAAGCCGAAAGGAAGAGCTCACAGAGTGTGAAGGCTCCTCCAAGTTGTAAAGTCCTTGCTGGTTTCAAAAGCAGACATTTCTTGCAAGGGTATAACATAATGCCATCATTCGGAACACTCCCTCAAATTTGAGGAATACTTACGTGAAATATTAAGCTTCAAATGGGTTACAAAACCCTAAAACTTGATGCAGAATCTCCCAAAATCAAGTTGTTAAAATTTTTCTAAAATGACTTAGTTCCAAAGAGCCCCCCCGAGTGCCAATAGGATGTCAGAGGATAGTTGACAGGGATGTAAAAATCTCTCAACAAAGAGTTTCATTTTAAGCAAATTGCTCATTAGGCCAGTTGCCCGGCAGAGGTAGTTGTGGCTAAATGGAGTGTGGGGTTGCAGAAACTACTCACAGGGTAGCTGTCTCTTCCTCCTCCTCATTTTAATTGTTCTCATGCATATGTATCTTTGCCCAAAAGCTATTTAAAACCGCCTGAGACGGTGGGTGGCCTAGAAGCGATGAATTATACATTAGGTCAGGCTCCATCAGCTCACTTCCACATCTGTCCTGTTGCAGAGAACAGCCCATCTTCACCACCCGAGCGCACGTCTTCCAGATTGACCCCAGCACCAAGAAGAACTGGGTCCCTGCGAGCAAGCAGGCCGTCACCGTTTCCTACTTCTACGATGTCACCAGGAGCAGCTATCGAATCATCAGCGTTGATGGGGCCAAGGTACTGCCCTGCCAGACAGTTCTGACACCCTCCCTTATTCTTATTCTGAAGCAATGTGGTGCGTTCGAAAGGTGAAGGGAAAAGCTGTATCCCCAGCACTACGGTCTTATCACAGCTTACCACAGTGCCCGTATAATCACGGATCTTACTCTTTCTTCTCCACCTGAAATTGTGACAAATGGGGAAGAAACAGATTCTCGTTACTTCCCTGTCTGGGTAATTAACATTTTAATGCCGATGCAGTGATTACATTAAGGGCCTATAACGATTGTAATTTCTTTACGACGTATTCGGTTTCTGGATGTTACAGATGTTAAGCATGCCCATATAGTGAGTATCCTCAGTTGTTCATTATATACCTATTGCTTCCTTTTGAATGTTTCCTCGGGGTAGATTCCTACAGCTAATATTATAGGTCATGCTGTTAACGCTTTACAGCCCTGGATGCGTACAGCCAGAGCCCTTCCCAAAGGGTTCTTTCTGGCATGAGGGTGCCAGGTTATTGTACCCTTGCAATCAATGAATATTTCCTCTCATCTGGTTCTGGCATTATTAAACACGGGAATCGTTTTTTACTAAATAATTTGTGAGCTTTTCTTCTCACTATGTAGCCCAGGCTGTATGTGAACTCGAGGCAATCCTCCTGTCTCAGTTTCCTGCATACTGGAATTATAGGCATGTACCATCTGATTTAGCATTTCTTACAGTACTTTTTTATTCCTGATATTTTATTATTTTGCTTTCCCTATATGTATCTTTGCCACATTATTTGTGGAAAGAAAATGAAGGAATGCCAGCAAAAGTTCTGGCATGTCTTTAAAATTAAATAAGACTTCTGCATTATAGTCTTTCTGTCTGTATTCTGTGTCCACTGAGCTAGTTATTTTTCCATAAATTCAGTCTGTTTGGAGGTAAAAATTCTGTTTACCATCTAAACTTCCTCTCTATCTTTATTTTCTAGTATTTGGTTTAACAACCAAACAGAGTTTGTCTTTTGATTTTTTTTTAAACTGTAACCCTTGCCAGGCAGTGGTAGCACACCTTTAATCCCAGCACTCAGGAGGCACAGGCAGGAGGATCTCTGAGTTCAAGGACAGCCTGGTCTACAGAGCAAGTTCCAGAACAGCCAGGGCTACACAGAGAAACCCTGTCTCAAGCAGGCAAACAAATAAACAAAAACAAAGAAGCAACAAAACAAAACAAATCCATGACTCTTGTAGTAGCACCTTGGGGCATCCCTTTGGCTGGCGGCTCCTCATCTACTGTCCGTGGTCCCTTGTGGATTCTGCCTCTTGGTCAGCTTTCCTAGACAATAGGAAGTAAAGAGCTGAGAGCTGAACAGTAGTGTCTCCATTAGGAGACCCCCCCCCCCCCAGGGGTGACAAGAGACCCACCAGGGCCTCCACGTAGGATGCAGTCCGGCTTCCCTCTCAGTGTCTCCCTTTGCCTGTCCACATGATGTCTAGACGTGAAGGTGAGTGGTTTATGGTCCTTTCTTTCTCTCCCAATTTCCACAACCCTCCCTCCCTCAGCAAAGAACCCAGAATGCCCTCATTTTTTTTTTTTTTTATAGCTGAGGTCTAGATGCAAGTAGTGAGATATACTCTGGGGAGGTGTGGCAAGCTGGTGTCTGGTCCCTACACCAATTGGGGAGGTGTGGCAAGCTGCTGTTGGTGTCCAGCGTCTACACCAGCAGGTCCTGATTTGCCAGGTTGGTGCGAGGTTCACTCTGGCAACCACAGAAGCGTTCCCTGACAATTTTCAGGCAGAGACTGTGTGGCCCATCTTTTCAGAGAACAGCAGTTGGTCTGATGAACATCTTATGACACTAAAGAAATAGTTCTCCCGTCTCAGCAACTGACATAGACCACTGGGGACATAGTAAGGGGTGGCCAGCCGCATGGAAATGTGACAGTGCCAGGCATGTAATAGTGCCTCAGTTGTAATGAAGGACTATCTGAAAGAAGCCTTGGTTTTAAAGTTTTGTTTTATTTTTGCTTCTGGGAGGCACAGTGACACTGCAGTTGTAATTACACTCCTCTGTGCTTCTGAGCTGGAATCGCTTGGGCTCTCTCCAGGATGTTCTAACAGGGCCGGAGAGCGGAGCTGACCTGCTTTCTTTCATCTGTAGATTCTTTCAGTACAGCTGCCATCCTTAGGTGGGTTTGCACTCATGTCAGTTGAGTTATCTGAGGATTTATTGGGCTTAACTATAGATAAAACAGCGTCCTTACAGCCAGTGCGTTGGTTATTAGCTAGGCTTTTAGTAATTTGTCAAACTGTCAGCCACGGTATCATTATGCTTCTGCAGTCCCTGCAAGCTGTGGCAGTGTGGTGGAGTCGAAGCCAGCTGAAATGGCTCTGAGGAGTCATATGGGTGCGGGAAGGTGAGCTGCGTGGTGATTGTGTAGTGGAGGTAACTCAGGCTGAGTGTAGGATATTCTTTGCGTTAAAGAGGCACTTAGGAAGTGGGAATTGGAAATGTCGACTGTGAAGCACCACTGAAATTCAGAGGCTGAGCCGGAGCTTCGCCGGCTACCTCCCTGCCATGTCCCTGGTCACCTTATGTTCTTGAAGTCCACCTAGAGTTCCAGCTTTACCACTGCAGCAGAGAACTGTGGCAGAGTCTTGTTTGGCAAAGGGCAGAAGGCTAGGGGATGTGGGAATGGGTTATACTTAATTACTTAGTTACTGCCTGATCCGGGATCAGGGGTATCCCCTGTCTCAGTAGTACTAGATGCGGTTTCAACACTACCACTGTCCTGCCGGACCCTCCTTTGACCCAGCAGCAAGTAGGACTTGACAGGCAACATCTAAGAAGTGAGCCTGATTCCAGCTGCCATGGTTAGGTGGGTGGGGCCCGGAAGCAGGACCTTAGGCCATAGCTATTACCACCCAGCTTCTCTGCCCAGTCTGAATTCTGGACGCCTCCAGCCCCAGCTCCTTCTCCATCTGAATACTCTGGATTTCTTGCCTTCCTTCCCGTGGCCGCAATACATGTAGTATGCTGAGCTGATCGCTAGGCACCTGTCCTAACACGTGGCTGCCACTTCTTGGCTCTGGTCTGTAGTCTCCCCTCAGCATCTCCGTGCAGTCAGAAAGGCTTGTTTCTCCTGCCTTTTGAACATGCATGTGGTTCCATGTTCCCTTAGGCCTTACATCCAGCAAGTTGTTAATCTGTGGTCCGCATACCTTCTTGTATGTAGACTGACCACTTAAGCATGGATGTACCCATGCCCTGGGGAGGTATGGCTGCCTTGTCGCTCCTCCGTAGTTGTGTTCTCTACCACATGAGAATGACTGTTTTAAGGCCTTTGATAGTAAATGTTGATCTGAACAGGAACCATATCTCAGCTTGATTACCCGAGACATGCCTGGTTCTGCTTCTCTTTGTTGGCCTGGACATGTCAGACTCATGGCCTCAAGCTCATGCTTGACACATGTAGGCCAAGTGTGCCTCCCAAAGCACAGGGTATTGCTTATTGGAAAAGCATACTTGTCCCTCTTGGATGGAGTAGATGTACTTAAGTCACAAGTTGCTGGGATGGAAAGGGACTCGGAGGTCACTTTGAGCTAAGGCCACACCAGATGCAGTAGCTGTATGAGCTCAGTTGCTGGAAGAGCACAGGCTGTCCTGGAGAGGGGGTACCAGAGCCAGAAGCTTAGCTGCTGTTGTCCTGTCCCAGGCATTGCAAGTGCCTGTTGCCTGTGGTGCACAGAGGGTCTCACCTACCCCAGAGCAAATGGGCTGCTTTCTTGAGGGTGATCTAATTCCACCCTGTTCTTTGTTTTTCTTAAAATGGAAGACATTCTCTTTGTTCAGGGACAGTATGGCATATGTCCCTTCCAGTTTGGCCTAAAGACATGGCCTGCTGAGAACCCAGCATTTCCCAAGCCTGGATACTGAGTTCCTTGCAGATGGGCTTGGGTAGAGGAATGCCTGACTTGCTTTCCTGTCTCAAAGCCAAGCCAGAACAGGTAGCTCCATAGATGTAGAGTAAGCTGTGGTGGACAGTAAGCTATGATGGAGAGTAAGCTATGATAGAGAGTAGACTATGATGGAGAGTAAGCTATAATGTAGAGTAAGCTATGATGGAGAGTAAGCTATGATAGAGAGTAGACTATGATGGAGAGTAAGCTATGATGTAGAGTAATCTATGGTGGAGAGTAAGCTATGGTGGAGAGTAATCTATGATGGAGAGTAAGCTATGGTGGAGAGTAAGCTATGATGGAGAGTAAGCTATGATGGAGAGTAAGCTATGGTGGAGAGTAAGCTATGATGGAGAGAGTAAGCTATGGTGGAGAGTAAGCTATGGTGGAGAGTAAGCTATGGTGGAGAGAGTAAGCTATGGTGGAGAGTAAGCTATGGTGGAGAGTAGACTATGATGGAGAGTAAGCTATGATAGAGAGTAAGCTATGATGGAGAGTAAGCTATGATGGAGAGAGTAAGCTATGGTGGAGAGTAAGCTATGGTGGAGAGAGTAAGCTATGGTGGAGAGTAAGCTATGACGGAGAGTAGACTATGATAGAGAGTAAGCTATGACGGAGAGTAGACTATGGTGGAGAGTAAGCTATGATAGAGAGTAAGCTATGATAGAGAGTAAGCTATGATAGAGAGTTAGCTATGATGGAGAGTAAGCTATGATAGAGAGTTAGCTATGATGGAGAGTAAGCTATGATAGAGAGTTAGCTATGATGGAGAGTAAGCTATGGCGAGTCCAGGCCTGGCTACCCACTCTGCAGGTGTGCACAGGAGGGCGTGGCCACTGCCAAGGGTGAGCCAGGAAAGGTTCACCTGTTCACAGCTGATGGGGGCCACAGAGGTATAGAGTCTAATTCCTAGCTCCTAAGAGCACTGCCAGAAGCCGTGGCTAGCACAACAGTCACATGATTTGTGGTGAGCTTTGCACAGAATGACCGACTCCATTCCCAGAGCATTTGTTACCTGAGCCATTGTAGCCTGGATTTCAATGTGGTTTTGGCACTCTTTGTGGACCAGG